GAATTTACAGTATTCCCAGGAGCAAAGTGTGGATTAGCGATGACGTAAATGATATGCGAGGATCTATACGATCGTACTATTTACTGTCAATATGCGTTAGAAATATTATATATAGACAGGGCAGTGAAATCATACAAGTCGAGGACCTTTACGAGTAGCTTCGTGGAGAAATGCAAGAATAATGAAAGCATGAAAGAAAATGATGATGTCCATAGGTGGCAGGACGAATACCGAAGAAATCGTAGCATGAAAAGCAAAAATTTCTAAACTTGATACATCATCTCTGAAATTTTCATATTTTAGTGTTTACAGTATATCGAACTGATGTGGAAACCCAGATCGCTTTTCAAGTTTAAAACTCTCTTTGAAGTGCAAATTTTAATATATAAAAAATTACTCACAACGTTCAACTAGAATATGATCTAATTCTTCTAGACACAATATCATAGTGTAAATTCGAAATAATCAGCACACAGAATGGTACCAATAACTGATCGGCAATCGAATCGAAAAGTGAACTGTAATGATTGAAAATCACTAAAATCTGGAATAGATACTAAATCATCAACAGGGCAAATTTTATAAAATCAAGAACAAATGGAAATCCCAACAATAAATCTCCCAAAGAAAACAAATCATTAAACTGGAAACATTAAAATTTGCACTTCAAAGAGAGTTTTAAACTTGAAAAGCGATCTGGGTTTCCACATCAGTTCGATATACTGTAAACACTAAAATATGAAAATTTCAGAGATGATGTATCAAGTTTAGAAATTTTTGCTTTTCATGCTACGATTTCTTCGGTATTCGTCCTGCCACCTATGGACATCATCATTTTCTTTCATGCTTTCATTATTCTTGCATTTCTCCACGAAGCTACTCGTAAAGGTCCTCGACTTGTATGATTTCACTGCCCTGTCTATATATAATATTTCTAACGCATATTGACAGTAAATAGTACGATCGTATAGATCCTCGCATATCATTTACGTCATCGCTAATCCACACTTTGCTCCTGGGAATACTGTAAATTCCGCCCACACCAGGTGGGGCATGCCCCGCCCACAGTGTCGGAAATCGTACATCCACGTCTTTCCTAATTCATTCATCATCTCATTTTGAGTTTACCGTCCTTTTCTCATTTTCCTACTTTCTGATCTTTTTTTTTATTTGACGATCGATATCCTTACAATTGTCTTCCTGCTTTTTGTTCTTCAAAGATCTTCATATTTTTCTATATCAATCATCTTTTAATTATTTCAGGTCAATTCCAACTATGACTTCTTCTCCCACATCCGCCATCTCAGCGAGCCTGACTCCAGAGTATGATGCACTCTGGCATAAGCTTCATCCTCTTCAACACGAAATGATTATAACTGGCGTTGGTCGTCGTGTTTATCCACTATTGGAGTATCAGTTTAGTGGCATGAATCCAGACAAAATTTACACAACTTCGGTTCACTTTGAATACGTCGACGACAAAAAACTGAGATTCTGTAAGGGAAAGTATGTCGAGTCGGTATCCCAAGAAAAGAAGGAAGCTCCACGAAAGGTTCAACACAAGTCAGGAGCAAAGTTGGGTTCTAAATGGATGGCCTCACCTGTTAATTTCGAGACGTCAGAATCTCAAATAGAAAGACGAGAGAAGAGGAAGATAGCTCAAATGTAAGTTTCTTTGTGAAAAGAATAAATTGTATTTTGAGTGTTTCAGGTCCATCTCCATGCTCAGCACAGATACTTGCCAGTTTTGACTATCAGCGAGGAGGGAGGATCAAACTACGGATCAGACTCCCACACACCGTTTTTATCACAGCCACTTTGTATCACGTAAGTTTTAAATATGCAGGTCAAAGAAAAATATTTTTTACTGCAGATTGATGAAGTTAACAAGATCAAGACCGATTCAAATGAATATGCAAAATCCAATAGAGGGGGTCGCCGTCGTCTCCGAGCCGTTGAGTCGTCGGCCACTAGCCCACCTACCAAGAAAAGCAGAAAAGAAACTCTAGTTCAAGAAGAAACTTTTCCAGAAGCTTCAGTTCCTGTCGTCCCAAACTCGATTCCAAACCCACCAGTCATTGATCCTGCTCTCTTGAGTACTCTTCCATTCCCATCCGCTGGTCTCTTCACTCAAACTCCAAATTCATCGACCATCCCAACAGTCCAAGTCGTCCCACCAGCCAATCCATTGAATGCTTTCTCCTCGATTCCATGGTTGAACCCAGTGAACAATCCATACCTTTTGGCTGCAATGGGACTACAATTCCCAACCATCTCATTCCCGTATTTGCCTTCAACGCCGTATTCACCGCTCACTCCAACTTCTTCCATCTCTCCAGACTCTCAGCCCACACAACCGGAAGATCCAGTAAAGACTGCAGTTATCGATAAGGTCATCAAAGAAGAGGTCGATATATGAACCCAAAATTCTCATTACTTCCTTTCAATGCTTCAATGATACGATTCGGTGATCCGAAAACTCTCCAACCCATCTCTCTGTCTTTTCTTTAACCTGTTTTCCCATACACACCGACCTCTTTCTCTCTGTTTGAATCTCACACCAAAATTGAAAATCGCATCACTCTTTCCATTTATGAAATAATTTTACTGGTTTTTAAAAGTATTCATCAATAAATTAATCATAAAATTTATTAGCTTTGTTTGTTTTTTTTTGCTGTTCATTCGGGTTTTATCGAATTTCTTTTCTATGCCTGTATGCTCATAAGCTTGTAAGCTTGCATACATAGGATTGAAACTGAAAACTTTTATGTTTGCGAAAATGTAGTTGAAAACATCTGGGAAAAGTTTATCTGAATAGACTTATTAAAATAAAAAACGCAAAAACGGCTAGAAATTGCATTAAGACACATTCTCTGAGAGAATTGAGATCAGGTCAATAGACGATGGCAATGGAAAAAATCAAAACGGTCGTAGGAGTCTGATATTGTATGTGGTGGGTATAGGAGCTATTCTAAGACTTTTGACCATGGTACCCATACGCCACGCCCCCTTCTGGGCGCGATGAAATACCGTAACCCTGAAAAATTATTTTTGTTCAAAATAATGATACCGACTCAAATGTTTCAGATTTCA